GACTGGTGAACGCCCCAGGGCTGTTCTGGTGTGCTTCCTGGCTCTGGGGCTGCCGCGCCCCCAGCAGCGAGGCTCCTCAGGAAGTCACTGAGCCCAAGAAATGCGAGGCGCAACCGCAGTGGCGTGTCTCGCCTTCCCCCGCTTGTTTCGCATGCTGACAAGCGCGCCTCTGGCCAAGCCCGGCGGGCGGTGCAGGGAGCTGGCCTTGGTCTAGGTAGGGCAGGGCCGAGCAAGAACTGAGGACGGTTCTTGTGTCCTGCACCAAGAAAACGCAACAACTCTTAACTATCTCCAGTCGCACACCCAGGCGATTGTACCCAACTGTCCCTAACTACCTTTTATGATTCCTTGTTATGTTGTTCCCTTACTGCTTTCCATGCAAGAGGACTTGGTGTGATAGTCACCCATCCAAAGGTGGCGGTTTGTTGTGGATTCGTGGGTTTTACCTGGTGGTGTGCTCCAGTCCCTGCGTCTCCCTCCAGTTGAGTTCAGGTGGCCTAGGCAGGCCGTTGCTGCCATGCATGGCATGGCCTCAGGACAGCCCCAAGTGGACTGCCCTTCCCCCCAAGTGGACATGCCTCCTGGCAAAGAGGCCCCACCTGGGGGCCCGCACTCCCCCGTGGAACACCCTCCAGAAAGAGCACGGTTGTGGATTGGGCCAAGACTGAGCCCAGGGCTCAGACGGGGGAGGAGGCGCCAGTGCATGGGCCTGGAGACGCTCCAGGGATCTCGGCGTTGGCGAGACCGTCGCCCCACCCCGCCCCACTACCTGCAGCCGTCCACCCACATCAGCGTCTCTGCAAGCCAAGGCCCAGTGCACCAAGCCCAGGCGTCCTCTGCAGGCACTGCCTCTCCTGCACTGCTGTCGCCGCCGGTCTGCGAAGCACCACCCGGGCCCCAGGCAAGCCAAGACCCGGCGCTCACCGAAGCCTGAGCGCCACCCCTCTCCGGGGCCGGCAGACCTGGGTCCGGGGGCGGGGGGGCAGCAGGAACAGGCGCACAGTGCGTGCTCCAGAGCAGGGCAGATGGGTCACCGGGGGCGGGGGGCGCAGTACAGGCTGCCAGTGTGTGCTCCAAGCAGGGCAGACTGCGCAGCCCGCCGGGAGGTGGCCTCCCCTCACTAGCCCCAACGTTACTTCCAAGAAACGCTGGTCATTTTCTCACTGGCCCGCCAGCGATGGCTGGGGAC